ACTGGATGTAGATCTTCTTTAAATGTCTGATAGAATTCTGCTGTAAATCCATCTGGTCCTGGGCTTTTTTTAGTAGGGAGATTTTGTTTTACTGTTTCAATTTTTTTTGTGTTATGGGTCTATTTAAGCTATTAATCTCTTCTTGGTTTAGTTTTGGTGGTTTCCATGCCTTTAGATATCCGTCCATTTCTTTTAGGCTTTCAAATTTAGTAGCATATAGGTTTTTAAAGTATTCCTTTATAATGTTCTGTATCTTTCTGGTGTCTGCTCTCAATAGCTACATTTTGTTTATCCAACTGTATACAAATTTAAAGGTAAAAAGTTAATTCCCTTCTGTCAAAAACATTTAAAAACTATATACTTGTATTTTTCTTCAGTACCCTTGCTGTAGAACTAATATTCAACCTGATATTTCTTTCTTACCATGTGTTTTACTAAATGTTCTCCTTCCCTCCCTCTGGGAGACTGGCCCTCAGTCACTGGGTCTCCAAGTTCTGACACTGGTTAATAAAACCGATCTAACACAGTTCTATTTGAATTCTGCATAGTTTATATGACATTTGGGAGGGGGTGCCTTAAAAAGAAATGGCTTCTCATAACCCACTCACCATTCAAGCCCACCCATATTCTCCATCAGCTTTCTCACACCACCCTCTGAGTTCCAAAATGGCCTCAGCTCCACTGCTTTTCCCAGGGTGTCTTGAGTCACCCACTCTTTTCGGAGGAATGAGTAATTTTCGGGCTACACCATGTCAGTCATAACCTGTAGCATTATGGTTTGTTTTCCCATCCACAGTTCCTAAATCAGGATGATGCTCTTTGACCCTAAGGCAGGGGCGGGGGACCAGGGCGGGGGGGGGGTGTCAGCATTAAAGGAGGGAATGTGGTAAGAGTTCTTTGGGGACCAGGAACAAGGAGAACAAAGAAAAGATGGCATGGTCTGATCAGTGTCTGTTGGATTCAAACCAAGTCCCCCAAAATGTTGGATTCAAACTAAGTCCCCTAAGCCTAAAAAAAATTGTACAAGGAAGTGAAAATAAAAAATAATTCTAACTGCTAAGCTGACTAAGATGACCTTTTCATGCTCCTTGCCCAAGCTGGAAAAACACCCGAGAAATCCCCCTCCCACTTCTGCTTTTCTTGGCTTAAATCGCTTGTGGTTTGTGGTTTTTATCTTTATAAACAGCTTGTAAATTAAATTCGGGGCTTCTCCTTTTAAGTGAGGCAGAAGCCCGTCTGCAGACGCAATTAAATCCTCTTGCTTGTTGCATCTTCTGGTTTGAGGACTGAGTTATTGGGGTGCGGCCTCCCATGAACGTTGGGTACCCCAGTCTGGGGGTCCTACATGTCAATATATGGATGAACAGACTTGTTGCATTTCTTTTGTCAATATCATAGCTCTGTAGCCTTTTGAGCACCCAATCAGAATGTATCTTACCATGTAAGAAAGATAAAGGGGCTAAAATGATACAAAAGGCAAA